TTAAACATCTGCCTGAGAAAAGAGGTCTCCAAGGAGTCAGAGTCACTCTTGGAAACTCTGGCACTGCTCCCCTGATGAGGCTTTCAATCCTGAAAGAGAGCTTGACTCTCTTGACCCTTCTGTCAAAAGGGTCAAACAACAAAGCTGCCAGCTTTACAGGGACATGTTGAAACTATTTTTAAAATTCTCTACTGTCTGTCAGTTATAACACCCTTTTTGAAGGTTAAAATGGAAACCCGTTTCCAGTATCTAAAACCAAAACCCAACGGATACTTTTGGCATTGTCTGACAAGTTCTTGGGAGCCTCAACAGGGAGGCAAGGAAAAATCCTGACATAAAGCCAAAGACATCCTATGTGAAAAGAACTGAACTACACTGGACAAAGTACTTAAAAGCCTTATGTGGAAGGAAAACCGCTTCAAATAATATTATGATCATATTTGGACAAAAAGTAACTTTTATATCCATATTTGCAGAGCAAGTGATGCAGTTACTTCTCACCAAGGCACCAGCACCAAGTTTAGTACTCATAGTAGGAGCTTTACTAAAACAAGCAAATGTTCTACCAAGTCAAACAGCAAGCACAATAAGATAAGAAAGAAATTGTGTCTCATGATTCCAGTCCACAAGAAGAACACTGCTTTAGTTTCTCAAAGAGATGATCAAGGAAATTGCCTGGTAACAAAAACATCAATTCTGTTTTTTCTGTAGACAGAAAACATAGTACATAGATCAATACAAATGATAACAAGAGAGCAATGATAGGAAAGGAAGATAATGTTTTTCCCTTTCTAGCATTTGCCCAGACCTTGAGTTCAGCCCCTGTAGGATGAAAAGCCAGTGAACCACTGGTATGGCAGGAAACAGAATGTCAAAGATGTACTTGCAGGGACTTTGACCGACAGGTTGCCAGCTCACACCAGCTTTTCTCAAAAAGAGTTGCTGTTTGTTTTTTGGTTTGTTTTTTTTTTTTTTTTTGCTTTACATCTAGTCAGAATCACCAATTTGAGCTGAAAAATACTGAGAATTTAGGTCTCAAGTTCTTGTAAAATTTAAAATGCTAAATGAGGAGCATTTAGCATGTCTAAGATCTTAAACACAACTGAGGATACCCCACTATAGCTCAGCTCTTTCAATATGGATGAAAATCTAACTAATTAATATTGAGAGTGAGTTTAGAAATCTTGAAGTGAAAGACAACACTCAAGAAAAGTACAACTGGTGCACTTGAACTCAAAAACTAGCACAAAGAAACTATTCCTTCACAATGAGCTGAACACCAGGCATACAGGTAAAGGTAAGAAAGAGAGAAGAGATTGTTTAGAGACATTTTAAGATCAAAATCTCAAGCTGTGGTACAAAACAGTCATGTAATCTCTGGTTTAAAAGTAACATAACTATTTCTAATCCTTATGGCTACATCAAAAAATCATCAGAGTTACGATCTAGGTCAATACAAGGGTTAAAACATCAAGAGACAAAGAGCCAAAAGTACATATAAACCCTAGCTAATCAACTAAGAAATACCACTGCTGGCCTTTGAACCAATCTCAGTATTTTGAGATAAATTTATAGTCTGAGTCTTATTAGTGGGTAAGTTTGGACCAAAATCAGGGATACATTACTAACCATCCCCTTAAACATAATAATACTCCAGCTAGCTTTTTGGTACAAAGATTTATGAATTCAGAAATTTAGCTACTGGTACACAATTACTTCAGGCTTATCCACAAGTGTAGGCTTGCTTCTGTGTCACAGGAGGAGATACAGACAGATTCAGAGTTGCAGAAGAGAAGAAGGAAGCAAAAGATTCCCTATCTGTAACTACCCATGTTCAGGAAGCATGCAAATATTTAGGATGGCTCTTTTAAAACCTATTAAATTGGCTGGGTGAGCCTGACTGCTTGGGAGCTCTTCAGAGCCTTCTGATTATTTTCATGTACAGACAACCCTCATGAAAACATGTATTTAAGATAACTATGCATAATACTGTAGAACTTCACAGGCTTTTGCAGTGTGACAAATAAACCTTCATTTTGCCAAGTCTTATCTTTTCCCTAAGAACATCATGCTGCAATTTCTTTTCCTATTCAGTTAGGTTGCTTAAATAAATTAATCTCAGTCCCTCTAGCACTGTATCATTAATTTTTAATTGTTAGTCTACAGATAACTTGACCCTCACCTCCACAGTAGCTCACAGATCCAGCTGAAAGCAGTGCAAGGCTCGCAGCACTTGCAAAAAGTAGATGCCTGCTTTTGGCTGTGTTATTGCATCCCTGGGACACATTGGAGTGTTTGAGAGCACTTGTAGAGTAGATCACTTCAATATGGAGACAATGGATACATGAGGATTCAGCTCATACACGGCTGCAGACCTTGGGCTTTGGAAGAGGCTGTGAATGTGGCAATGAAACTGGACTAGATAAAGATATGGAACTCTGAGTTTGTGCTTTAATGTTCAGGAGCTTACAGGATGCCTGTAAGTGTTGGCTTTAGACATTCAAGCAGGTAGAAAGAGAATAATAATTCCATTTGGTCCTGTACCAATAGGATCCTCTGAGTACTCCATTCTCTACACAAAATTGCTCTATCAGTTCATGAATTACATGCATATAAGAAAATCTTCCAGGGAAAGGAAGTAAGAAGGAATACATTCCACATTTAGGTCTGAAACCGTGTATTTCACTGCAGAAGCAGCCTAGCTGCTATGCAGACACATTAGACAACCCATTCTCTCTACTTCCAGAAAACACAACACATTTACATTATTAGTTAGTACATGCTAACCAAAGCCTGGGTTTTTGCTCATTCTTAGTTCTCACAGACATTAGAGCCATAACTAATCACCAGGCTTGCTGGGAATTCATCTTCTTTGGCTTGCCTTCTTTCACTTTCCTCTCTAGATGCTGCCATAGGAATTTATGAACATGAAAAGAAACCACCTCTCCCTGTGAGCAGGTGATACCTGGGTGGAGCCACACTTTTGTACTTCAGCTGCGCAAGAGGTGACATAGGAAGCAGAGCACTGGTGTAGCAGGTTCCCTCTGCTCTACACAAAGTTGATCACAGATCTTTCTACTGAATCTACTGGGCAGAAATCAGAAGGAAGGCGTGGAAGAACTGATACACTTCCTGAACAGCTTTGGAAAGCCCCATGCTTGATCACAGTTCCAAAGAAACCCTCTGTGGTTTCCACACATCCTCCTGTCTCCTACAGGCTTTGTTCCTGTGCTGTCCATGCTGTTTCTTTACTCTTCAAATTATTCCTCTTTTCCTTCATCTTCTTAAATACAATGCACCACAATGAGCTATGGCACTATGTCAATTCTCTGACACATGTTCTCTTTCACTCGGGCTTTCTCAACCTGTCAACTCACCTCTACTCAAAAGACCTTAAGCTAGACCCAGCTACTTAAGCCAACCCTTGGGCTTATCTGCCCTGATGCAAAGATCAAAGCATAGGGATGAGCTGTTCCCAAACCATTCCAGCATAGGCTCAAGGTCTTTCTCAAAGTTCAGAGCTCTTGTTTTATGAGCCACTCAAAGCCAGGCGTATTCTCTGCACAATAAAATTTGTGCTGCCATGTGGGGGAGCTTGTGCTGTGGCTAATGCTCATCACTTCAAGAGAAAAGGACAGCTCAGCAGCAGTAAGGATTGCAAGCCACTGGAAACTGTTCTGGAGGGGCTGGTTGAAAAACCCGGCACATAGGTAGATAATGCACACACTCTTTATTAAAGATGTTCCTTTTCAAAATGATCTTGGGTGACAGTCATTGATTTTGCCTTGATAAAGCAAACAATTCATACAGCTTATCAACTGTAACTTATAAAAATTTGCAACTTCCAGTTGTCCTTAGCCTGGTAAAAAAATAGAATTTAAATTGGAAAAGACCTGTAAGATCCTTGAGTCCATCCATTAACTAGCACTGTCAAATCCACCACTAAGCCATGTCACTAAGTGCCACATCAACTAGATCATGATCAGAATGGTAAATCAAAGACAATGAAAATTCCTATATTTTAAAGGGATAAATAAAGCAAACAAGTAATGAAGATCCAGACCCCCACTGAGTGATTTATAAACCCAACCACCAGACTGGAGTCTTTATTTCTCGCTGAGCCATGTTTGTCCACAAAGCCACCTTGACAGCTGAAGTAAAAGCAGGTGAACCAGGAATCCAAAAGGCAAGGAACCTGCTTGATCATCTGTACCAAATAGATGGACTTGGGGTCTGCTTGAACCCCCCTAAAATCACAATTCTGCCTCAGAGACAAAACCAGTTAAAACTCTCAGGTCATTCAGAAAATAAGCAATCTGACAGCCTGAGGAGATAAAAAAATTACAGGGGTGGGTGGTTGGTTTTGTGTGGGGGTGGGTTTTTTTTGTTTTGCTTTTTGCGGTTTTTTTGCGTACGTGGGGTGGGTTGTCTCGTTTTCTTTAAAACCAAAGAAATAGTTTGAAAGCGGTTTGTCGGCATGAAGAAAGCCGGCCATGTGGAAAGGGGCGACAGCTGGCAGCAGTCCAGCCTTGAGCTGCACCCCTGAACAACTGGTGAGGGTAACCAAAGCCCTGTCACACAGCAGCACCGCAGTGCCTACGGACACAGCAGCTGGCAGCACGCGCCCACAGCCGGCCGAGGCGGGCCCACAGCCGGCCGAGGCGGGCCCACAGCCGGCCGAGGCGGGCCCACAGCCCGCCGGGGCGGGCCCCCCGCCGGCCGAGGCGGGGCCCCCGGCGGC